CCAAATCTGGCCCAAGATAGCTCGTTTTAAAGATAAAAATATTCCGAACACTTCTCCAGAAGGCCACGAACCCATCCGAGGTCATCTTGGGCTCCAAAATCGCAATAAAAGCCCAAAACGTCACTATTCCAGCATAGCGCACTGCTCCTTCATTTATTCGCCAGGAAATCATCGCTTGGTGGAAAAGTCTGATATTTTGATACGATCAAGCTAAGTGACTCACGTACGTCCTCCAACTGGAATTACTCCAAAATTCGTCCATTTGATTATGTTTTGCTCCAGAGGAAGTCGAAAGTTCTATATTGGAAATATAATTCAAAGTATCAAAATTCTTCCAACATATTAACCAAAATATACTAAGAATGAGGTTAAATATATAATATAAAATCGACTCATCAACCTTCCTACGTCGTTGTTTAAGGCAAACACCGGTAGATGGTTTAGTTGTTTGGGTTCTTCCCATAAGCCTAGATGATTTAGGTTTACATGGTTCAGTTGAGAAATTCATGTTTTTCTTAGCATCCAGTCTTTTAGGGCCCGTTTGATAACTATTTCTATCTTAGTTTTTAGTTTTCATTTTTTGTGCTAGATTATAGAGGAAAATGAGAGCGAGAATGGGTGAGTGTGAGATTGAGAGAGAAGATGAGAGGGGAGGATGGGAGGGAGGCGTAACAAAAATGAAAACAAAAACTAAAAACTGATATCTATTTGAAATCTATTTCAGTTTTTAGTTGTTTGTTTGTGCATTGGAGTAATAAGATGAACATTTGTTGTATCTCTAGCATTGCGTATGTAATTGTTGCAAATTTGATATGGAATACACTTTTGTTAACCTCTTTGCCCTGCCTATCATCAATGCTAAGAATTTATTTTCTTTGAGAGTAAATGTTTGTTAGTTCCACAAATTTTGTTTTACACATTTCAAAGTTGTATGATTCTGTTCGTGGAAAATTCTAGGTAGATATGACAATAATAGTAATAGTCATTAAACTAATACTTTTCGCCTACAGTGTTGTCATTATATTTCAAATTGTAACTCTAAATTCTAGAAAGCCAGCAAGCTCAAATTGTTTTCATTTCATCGTTTCAATGTTCCGAGTATTAGTTTTCTTCCAGGGTCTTTTTATTTTTTTTCATCTTTTTCTTTACAAGTAGAAGCCCAATTACCCTTCTCATCAGCTTATTTGGTTGGAGTGCTTTGTTAGTTTACACAGATGTAAATACAGCTCTTTCTTGATCACAGGCTGTCTATCAGAAGAATGGGAACTTGTTTTTCCTTACAACAATCCAGAAAGCAATGACATCTGAACAAAGTAACAAGTTTTGCATTGAATCTATGGTATTTGTCTCTGGGTTTAAATAGCTGAATTGATGCAATTTTCCTTGTTCACTGTTTATATTGTGCAGAACAAATTGATTTGGCTAAAGCAAGCCTAGGAAAGCTGAATTCTTCTTGATATGACTTGGCTTACGATGATGGTAGTCCTACAGCCTTTTAAGGTAAAAACCCTTGTATTAATAGGCATATACATCCACTAGAGATAAGTCTTATCCAAGTGATGTATTTTAATGGCAAAGATTTGTGATACTTTTACCATCATTATATTTCAACTGGCATCAGATACTCTTGAGTGCTTACTGTGATCCTGCCAACAAAGCAGACTTTCTTTTCTGTTACCTTTCATTGACTTCTGCGTCTGTTTGCCATATGCATGTTGATGCTTTTTATTTTCTTTTATCCATTACTTACATCCAATTACCTTTCACTGACTAAGGGATCTAGGGAGTTATATTGGAGAAAATGCTAAATTATTTTTCATTGTATTGTGTTACAAAGTAGTTTGTATCTTTTTAATAAAGCAGCATTAACTCTCAACTCGTCTTTTTATTTTTTATAGATTTATTAAAAACACAATACAGTACACCCTTTGTAGTGAAGACTAAACAACAAAGCTGATAATACTCTACCTTATAATTAATGTAAACCAATACACATATTAGACTGTCAGAAAACAGCTGCATTAATAGAAGAAAACTGAATGTTCCAAAATTCATAAGACACAGAAACCCAAAGTGAGAACCAAATTTTGACTCTTCCCCCTGAACTTTCATCCCTCCCTACTCAGTTTGACTTCCCTAAACAACCTCAACAACTGTGATACTATAGAGTAATAAATAGATAATTGACCCACACCTTCACCCCCTTTACATATTATGCACCACTACGGAGCAAGATTTCCTAAGAATCAACTTAGTGAAATCCCATACTTCATATATCTGAAAAGGGAATGATCCGTTAAGCTTTGGATCAGATGACACACATGGCCTTACTATGAGCAACTATTCAAGTAAGAATTGTTACTTTAGGAGATGCCTTAGCCTTCTAAGTCACAGAAAAAAGTTGGAAAATTGGAAGAGATGGATAGCCAGATAGGACTACAATATTTGGTTTACATGAAACAAACCCCAGAAGAGTAAAAAATCCACCTCCAAAACAACCAGGACCTAGAAGGAGATTATTGAAGAATCTCTAACAAAGACAGAAGTGACCTCCACAATTTCAGGGTCAGTTAAGTTTCTTTGGAAGCCAACATATCTATCAACTCAAAGAACGAAAAGAATTGACTTAAAATCTAGCAATGGGAACATTATGAAAATTGGACAATCTGCACAACTGAGGAAATGAGCAAAACAAAGGCAATTTTTTCCAACCCAACACTCATCCAAAATCTAATCCTTTCTCCACTTCTCCACTACCCACTGCAAGCTCACACCAAGGAGAAAAGTACCATAACCTTGGAAAGATTTCCAAGGACAGGAACTCAAAAACCTCAATAGAATTCCATCCATTTTCATGTAACCCATGCTTCCTATAACAGCTAATGGAAAGCTCTATAACAACTTCCCCATTAAGGCCTTATGGGAAAGACATACTGGTTAACTACCAATCAAATGATATCTGAGTTCTTCAAACTACTTGGTTATTCTCATCTTCGCTATGGTTCTTGTTTTCCAAATTAAGTAAACATGATCCTAAACTAGCCATTTTGTATATAGCTGATATGACTTGAGGTCGATTCACGAGTAACTGTTTTCATTTGTTTGATTCCATATTAAAGCAGTGTTTTATTACATAAAACTTGAAAGAATGCATGAGGCTGTTGTGCTTACCAATAAGAAATAAATAAAATTGCCGGATACCATAGTTAATATATAAAAAAATAAAAGAGGGAAATTTCAGTTTTTCTTTGCATCTTCAGGCTTTTGGGTGTCTTAAATGATCAAAATATATGGGTGAATCCTCAGACTATTTTGTGATAAGAGTGAAGAGAATAAACTGCTTTGAGCTTTACAAATCAGATTTACCATGAAGATTTGTTGTGCCAAGGTTTTTGTCAGATTGGCCTTTTTGGCATGGACAGCCTGTTTAAGACTTTTTTTGGTAATGTTTTTGGGACAATTATTGATAATGGATGATTTGATACTTTAATTGGTGTTGTGAAACAGGATCTCAGTGAATGAACCGCTTATTGTTGCAGATTCCTGTTGGTTGGGCGGTCGTGGGGATTCTTGTCTCACCCATTTTCTTATTTCTAAAATGGGCTTCTACCGTGGACATAATTTTGTGAACAATACATGTAGAGACTTTTAGACTGAAGCATTATGTTTCAGAATTTTGTACAAATACCTTTTGAAGTATAGGGGTTATGAGGTTATTAATATACGTCTCTCCCTCCTGCCCTCCTTGGTTGTCTCCCTACGCGTACCCTCCCCGATCGCCCCAAAAATTGGTACATTATTATGATTATACACGAAGGTACATACATGTACATGCAATGTACGTATGAACGTACATTAAATGTACCCAAGTTTCCAACAAGGGACCAAAATTGAAATTTAATCTAAACATGGAAGTTTATTATTCAAGGGTAACAGTGTAATTATTTTGATATATGTTCCTATGGATTTCATCCATGTAATTGGTTAAATTAATAAACGAACAAACATTGGAGAACCATGACAACTGAGAGTCATATAACCCTCACATGCGGACTTATATATAAATTATTTTGATCCTAAATTCATGATTTTATAGAGTTTTTATCACAAATGGTCTTTGATTGTTGAAAACCCCGAAACTGAAGTTTTTTTCCTCCTCTCAAACTGAGTTTCAAGAAATTTTTTATGAACGTACATTAAATGTACCCAAGTTTCCAACAAGGGACAAAAATTGAAATTTAATCTAAACATGGAAGTTTAATAAACTATCTTATTCAAGGGTAACAGTGTAATTATCTTGATATAAGTTCCTACAGATTTCATCCATGTAATTAGTTAAATTAATAAACGAACAAATATTGGAGAACCATGACAACTGAGAGTCATATAACCCTCACATGCGGACTTATATATAAATTATTTTGATCCTAAATTCATGATTTTATAGAGTTTTTATCACAAATGGTCTTTGATTGTTGAAAACCCCGAAACTGAAGTTTTTTTCCTCCTCTCAAACTGAGTTTCAAGAAATTTTTTTTTTTTTCCTGTGGAACTTGTTTATTGAATATTTGGAACGAAAATTATTTTGGTGGCTTAACTGCTCTATTAACGGCAAATGGGGTTGTTTCTGGGCTTTTAGTTTTTGGATTAAATCAGCAAAGAAAGGCCCAAGTAATAAAGGACGTTAGAGCTTGTTAGACATGGGATACGTCACACGTGAATCCCACATTGGAAAACATCTCTATGCATGAAAGCTTTATATATGGTCGTTTAACAACAAAGCTCGTCCCTTCGGGGACATCCGATAAAATTGGAACGATACAGAGAAGATTAGCATGGCCCCTGCGCAAGGATGACACGCATAAATCGAGAAATGGTCCAAATTTTTTTGGCCTTTTTTGCGCGTGATTTTCCTGCTGTCTTGAAAGTGTTTGATGTTCAGCGACTGATAGTCTTCATTCTATTTTTTCGATGTCAAAAGCTCGCCTACCAGCTGTTTGATAAAATGACTCTGTTACTATGGCCCTTATAAAATTGTTCAAGTTCAAACTTTTTCAGATGCTCACAAGGCAAGATAGCATCTGGGTTTATATGCAATGCAATTCAATAACAGTTTTGCTTGGTTCAAAGTGTTGATAGGCTCCATTCAACTTTGTTTCTTTTAGTTCAATAAAACCAACATACATATTCTCCGCTATCTAGTTTTCATCTTTCATATTCATCGTCTTGATTAATGAGAGTATGTATGGCCTTGGCAATGGTATGTCACCATGTTAAGATGCCAGTTTTTTAAACAGGAAAGGAGGAGGAAAACAAATGCAGCAGCAGCAATCTAGGAAGTCTATGAAACTTTTCGTACATTGCGAAGAATCAACTATCGTTTGTTTCCCTAGTTGCAGAAGATTATAGATCAGTTCAGTAGCTGATATTGCAACTGGTTTTGACATTAAAATCATTAACTTGTGGAGCTTTTACACATTTTCTGTACGATTTTTTTTATCATCTACAACCCATGTTTTACATAATATCCTATACTTCGAAACCGTGTTATGATAACAAATATGATGCCTCAAGTACTGACACATTACATGGGACTACATCTGTACAATACCTTGAAAAAAATTCTCCAAATCTCAGATCAATGTTAATCAAGAAATCTTAAGATGTTTGGAATGAAAAATTGTGAACCTTTTTACTCATGAATCAATTAAGTGGGGTTATAATTCAATCCACAAAGAAAGGCACAATAATTAAAGAACGTGACCGTGTGTTGGAGATTGGGCTAGGGATCCGATAACAAAAGGTGGGGAAGCAGCTTCGCTTAGGGCTGGCAATGGGTAGTGTCGTGTCGGGTTCGTGTCGTGTCGGGATAATAAACGTGTCAAGAATGCTCAACCCGAACCCAACCCATTTAATAAACGTGTCGTGTCGGGTTCGGGTCGTCTTTTATCGTGCGGGTTTCGAGTCGTGTAACGGGTTCATAAATAATTATATGCATGTTACGAAACTCACAATTGAAAAAAATTTAAATTAAAAAAAACAGAGAGAGTAGAGAAAATATAAGGAAAAGAAAGAAAAAAAAGATAAAGAGAGGAGAGAGAGAAGGAAAAGAAAGAAAAAAAATAGAGAGAGAGAGAGAGAGAAGATTGAAGGAAAGAAAGAAAGAAAAAAGAGAGATGAGAAAAAACTAAAGAGAAGGAAAAGAAATAAGAAGAAAAAAGGAGAGAAGAGGAAAGGAAAAGAGAGAAAAAAAAAAGAGAGAGGAGAAAGAAAAAAAAAAGTGGAGAAGAGAGATGGAAAAGAAAGGAAAACACAAAAGAAAAAGAAACATTATAAATACTAAAAGACATATGATAAAATCACAAAGTTATTTGTAGCATGGTGGATAAGGTGTTTGAGAGAAATGAGGGTGGTAGGGGTTCGAAACCCCTTGTGTGTGTGCTGAAGTCTCCATTTCTCTTCATTTTTTAGCGGGTTGACACGACCCGTTTAATAAACGGGTTAGGTAGGTATTATAGCGGGTTAGCAGGTTGACCCGAAACCCACCCGTTTATTAAACGGGTCAAAACGGGTTGACCCGAAATTGACCTGTTTTTTTATCGTGCGGGTTGAACCCGCTAATTTCTCGTGCGGGTTTCGAGTCGTGTATCGGGTCGTGTCCGAAATTGCCACCCCTAGCTTCGCTATTAAAAAAATAGCACGAGTCCCACATTGCAAAAACCTTCTATGCATCAAAGCTTTATATATGGTCGTTTAACAACAAAGCTTGTCCCTTCGGGGACATCCGATAAAATTGGAACGATACAGAGAAGATTAGCATGGCCCCTGCGCAAGGATGACACGCATAAATCGAGAAATGGTCCAAATTTTTTTGCACTTTTTGCGTGATTTTTGATTTTTTTTTGCTCCCCATTTTTTTTTTCCCAGTTTTCAAGGTCTGAGTGAATCTTTAATCTTCCAGATGTGAATCCAAGTTTGAATTTAGTGTTTGATTATTTGTTCACAAGTGCTGGACTGGATGCATATAGAAAGTTCGTCTACCAGGTGTTTGATAAAATGTCTCTGTTACTATTTGGCCCTAACAAAATTGTTTTTCTTACTTGTTGCCCGCCTAGTACTTGGCACTTGCCACCTCACATTGTTTCGTGATATTTCTTGATACTTCCTAGGAAACTTGAGGAATCCTAGAGACTCGGACACAGCTCTGCCGTTGTATCATCTGACTCAGTTGCTAGTGAGCCTTCTATCTTGAGAACAATCTCGAAATATGAATCTGCATTCACATCCTTATATCGTGACAGCGGGATTCTCTCGGTTTCCTTTTCTTGCAAGCAAAGCGAGGAGATTTAATATGTGCTCAGTTTGGCCTCTCAGGAAAAATTACTACACCTGCACGTATTTGAGACTTTTGTGCACTAGAGGTTAATAATCAAAAATACATTTCGATTTTCAGCACAATGAAATCCAAGTTTTCTATATTTATATTGAGATTTGAAAACTGTCATCAAGTTCAAACTAAGTTTGCATGAATGGATTCTTGCTTTATTTGTATACAAACCATTTCATACAAGGGAAAAAAAAAAAAACAAAGCATGCCCACATAACGTCCCGACTGACAAGACAAACTTCTTTTACCCACAACGTCTATATAAAGTCTTCCTAAATAGAACATGAAATTAAGAGATTGAGCCTAGAACAAACTTGCGGCACTTAGAACTCTTGGCTCGCTTGCTGAAACAAGACAACAGCAAGAGTCAGAAGGGATGCATAAACTGAATTGGGTAACCTCTGCACCACCTTCCCAATGCCTGGTACACCCTCCGTAGCCCTCTTCGTTGCCATTGCAATTGTTGGTGCTGCAACCAATGTCAGGATCAGTCCCTGACTGACTACAATGAATGTGTCGGCCGTCAGCTGCTTGATGAACTTCGTAAACTCTTCACGGTCAATTTCTCCATCGAGATTGATATCGTTTTCCTGCAAATACACTGAGTGAACAATCTTCTATGTGGTTCTACTCAGTATGAACTATAGCTTAATAGGATAACAAGTTTTAAAGCTCAGCAAGTTACTGAAAGAGAATCCTCAAGAAACAAAAAAGATAGAACAGATGTTATGATTTATCCATGGTCATGGTTACCAAGATTATGGAATCAGCTCGCATTCAAATGCCAATTAAACAAATCTCCTAAATATTCAACAAGATCCAACCATGTATTGAGAGTAAAGTATTTGTTAACACAGAGCCTACATCTACAACCAAGCACCCCTAGAACACCCAAGACACTAAGTATCAAAGTCAATAAAGGACTTTACAACAGATGCAAAATGTCGAGCCCAAAGAAACGACTCAGCCAAGGAATTCTCCCTCACATCTCCCAGTTTGATACTGACTTTGGAACATGGAGCTGTAACAATATCAAAACTGCACTTAACAAGATCTCAGCAAGGAGATGTAAATATCATTGAATTTCCTTTTTCTTCTCATTAAATTTGAGATAACCATGTTGTAGTCTTTCACGTGGAAGTAAGCTGGAAAAGAAAAAAGAACAGCTACTGGCCTCTTTTCCCAACACACGACCTTTTACTGTTGACAATAGTTAATTGTAGTCTTCTATGTACTTCTATGCAATGCATAACTAAACTCACTACAAAATTCATTGGATTCAACATTGTCTAAAAAAGAATAACAGGCTCAGAATCCCTGTTATGTTTTCTTTAGGTTTCCTGAAAAGAG